TGCGAAAACCTTAATTGCATCAACGAGTTATTAGTGCGTCGGTTGATAGCGTGATAAGACTTTTCCTTTGTCGGGAGAACGCTGGACGTTTGGGCCTCTAGACGAGACCGCGTTGTTCTCGTGGTTATAGTTTTGTGCTAAGTGAACCTGGGACTTTGAACTTTGACCAACCGTCTCTAAGTTGTGCAGCGTGTCACTTGTGTTACACATTGTACACATCACTACACTCTACTTACATGCACATCACTTCCCACCTGACAGGTACCTCGTGGTCAACCCTACCTCCGCCAATCGGTAAGTGGTGCTTGCGTGCCGTTATAATTTAATTATCCAAAGGTCATTGGACTCTTGTCGTGAAGCGACAGTTAAAAACTAAAGAACCTAACCTAACAACGAAACAACCAAAAAGAAAATAATTTATTTAAAATTTGTAAAGATATTTACAGTTTCTTTTATAAAATGTAAAGCCACAATTAAAAACTATAGAACCTAACCTAACAACGAAACAACCAAAAAAGAAAATAATTTATTTAAAAAAAATTGTAAAGATATTTACAGCTTTTTTTATAAAAAAAAAGGTATGAGGGTGATGATGGGCTGTAGTGATGATAGTGAATTAAAATTTTTTAAAAAAAATAAAAGTTAATAAAGATAAATGAGTACGGAAACAATGTATGTACAGGCTATGCCTGTGGTAGATGCACAGCGCCTAATCTAGGTACACGTAGCGCTTGAAGTAGGCACACACAGCGACCAGAATGAGCACAGACACACCCGGAGTAGACACACACAGCGCCTGGAGTAGACACGCAGCGTCTGGAGTAGGTCCACGCAGCGTCTGGAGTAGGTACACACAGCGTATTGAGCAGGTACACGCAGCACTTAGAGTAGGCACACACACTCCGCTCGGAGTAAGCACACACAACGACCGGAGTAGACACACACAGTGCCCGGAGCGCCGGAGACACGCAGCGTCTGGAGTAGGAACACGCAGCGCTTGAGACAAGCACGCTCAGCGGCCGAAGATAGCGCGGGCACTAATAGGTGGAGGCGTAGGCGTGGCTAGGCGACGACTTCAGGAGAAGGCAGAGGCTTGCAAGATCCCGAGGCAGTGCGGATAAAGCCTTTAAGAGGTGCTTCTCGTATCAAAGCTGAAGTGAGAACCTCTATTGGCCGATTCTTCGGCTTTTATACTTTTTGACGGATCTGGGATAAGAACGAGAAATTATTTGAAATTATTTAAATTAAAAGCAAATTTTTGTAAATGGCCAAGAAGAAAAGAGTATTTTTGAAGTAAAAACATCAGGCCGGTAACGATATTTGAATAAAAATTGCCATGACAACCAGATAAACAACGATGTCAATTATGTCAAATTTTGGTTTTAGGCTCGTAATAGAGAAACGGCAAGATTTAAGTGAAAAATGAGATATTATTGATATAGGAAAAAAGGTAGCGCAACAGTGCACACGAAGCCCGAAATTGCAGAGTTACGGAGAACTAAATAAAATACCGAAAAAAGGTAGACTCCATTGACACCGATTTAAAAAGTGCTGATAACGTGAAAACACGATGTGAAAATGATTTGTTATTGTGTTCTTATGGTTTAAAAACTTTACAGGATCCTATGAAAATAAAGGTGATGCAAAATATCCAGTTTTGAGGCTAATTCAGAAAATCAAAAACAGAATGGAAAAATAAATTTAAAATAGTGTAAAATGATATGTAAGTAGCATAACACTACACCCTCCCCTCTGTTACTCGTCGAGTTGTGCTACTTTGGGCCCTAGCTCAATCGACCTTTATCGGGGTAACTCAGGGCCGTAACAATTTCCATATTATTTTATATTGCAGTGACCTTATAGGGCTCTTGTTTGTGACTTAAACATTTTTGTAACACCTATGAAACAACATGACTCAATAAATGAATATGAATATAGTCGAACTTTTATGACCAGAAAATAATACTACAAAAACGCTAGGTGGACTACACCAAAAGACGCCCTGATGATCTACACGCGATAGAGTCTCGCTGCAGCTGTATTATCGTTCACTGCAGCATTAATGGTTCAACTCAAAAGATCTCAATACTTTCACTTGTACTTTTGCTCAGTGGGACGACTATTTTTCTGGGTCAGAGTCCGTCTGGATATCACTCTCTTGCCTGTTTCTTCCGTGAAATAGCAGCACTCGCACTGTTGTACTCTGGTCTGAAGGGTCTGTGAGGCATTCTTTCTTAATAATCAAGGGTGACAACGCGTCTGTAGCCTTCTTTATTTGAAGTTGGCTGCAGGCGTCCATTGTCTATAGGTAATATCCATTTACGATCAGACTCTGTGCTTATTTGTCACCCCAACTTACACAATAATATCTCTAGCCCCTAAAATTTCACGTTGGTTCTCTTTCCCATATAATACTATAATACACAATAGAATGGCTGTAAACCTTATTTTGTACGAAACTCGGGAGCACACATACAAGCAATTACGTCGTATTATCACTACTACAACCCGATTCGCTGTGTTGACATACTGAGCGAATTTAGAAATTTTAAACTTTTGATTAATGTTTTTGATACATCAATATTTCTTTATTTTTGTTTGTAATATTCTCAAAATATAAATAGTTTCGACCTGGTTGTAAGATATGTCTTCTTTATTTAATGTCTATTTCCCGCTGTCATTTCGACACGTAATTATTGCACAATTTGTAATTTTTGCGCAGCACCGCACGAAAATTAAACTATTATTACAAATCCCCTCTCCCCTTTTCTATATGTTATACACTTACTTGCATAATTATATCGATAAAAGATAAATTAACCTTTAATAGTCTCAAAACGAAAACAATTCGTCAAGCTGCTCCAGTGTGTGTTGACGCTCTTTTTGTGATATCCCGAAGATACAGTTTTTGTCATGTTTTCCTTTACCATCGATTACGTGGTAAATCGGCGCTTGAAAACGTCTCGAACAATGCAAATGAAATCTTTGAGTTTCTTACGTATTAACAACTAAAAGTGCGCCTTATTCTTCATCTACCAGCTAACATAGTTGAGGCTACGCTATCATATCTATGATACCCGTTGTGTCAAAGATAATAATAGTTAAACTTTCATCAAATGTGTTAACTGGTTGAGAATACCTAAGTGCAAGTCCGCCTTTTGTGTACTCTATGATAAGTGGAATTGAGTAGTAAATAATAGGGATGTCGATTCTTTCCGTAAAAGATTGATTAATCGTTTTGAATCGAAATCTTAGGAATCGATTCACAAAAATTGAGGTCTAAAAGATCGATTTCTAAAAAATCCATCGTTTTTCGATTTGCTTTCAAAGTTTATACTTACAATATCAAAAAATGCAACAAAGTAACTTATTTTTTATTTCTTTAATTTATTAAGAAGAGACGAAAAAACTGAGCACACAGCAGTTTTGCGAGTTTTTGATGTCATTCCTTACAAGTTTGGGTACATTCAACTGATTTTAAATAATTTTATAGTTCTTATAAAAACGGAAAAAGATTCGATCTCGGTTTTCTAGGGTGAAATACCGATTTACTGGAGCTATTCAGTATTATATATCGATTTAAAATCGATCATTTTTGCACAAAAACTCGATTCTTAAATTAATCGATCTCAGATCGACATGCCATACATGACATGTTAATAATGGAAACTGTTGACAAGTGCCGTCAGCTGTTACCTTTCGGTTAAGAAACTGGCATGGTACAAAATGTTCACTTCTATTGTATTCGGAAATTATAATCAGGATTTTTATAACTTTAACTTAGTGAGCTAAGCCTAATATTAATAAATTAGTTCGAATCTTTATTTTGCTTGTTGCTGTGAAGTAACAATGATGATTCTTTTTCTTATAAACAAACAATTTCATTTAAATTAATAAGTATATTCAATTGACTGCACCAAATTTTTTATTTTCTTCAGACTAGATTTTTTTTCTGTTTTATATAAGTGTGTTATGTACGTAGATACATAAATTGCGCATATAAAAGCATCCAGAGCCGGAACAATTATATTTGTGGGACATACAAATAATTGTTCAGTGCGGAACCTGAGTCTGCGAAGACTTAGACAAAATTGGTCACTCCTCCATCAAGGCGTCAAATATTTGCAAATAATCATAGAAATGATTCTTCTATATTTCTTAAACTTAGTTATTGCACGCCTCATAAGCGAAGCGTTGATGTTGTGCTCTGCTCATCTAATGGAAATCCAGTAATTTTCTGAGCTAAAACGTCTTTATTTTTTTACTATTGCACTTTTAGAATAAAAAATACACATATATCGAGAATTTTTAAAAGTAATTTTCTGTATTTAGTGTAAAAACAGATTGAAAATTTTTTCGAGGGTGTCCGGATGTCATCCGTGTGGATGGCGCACGATTAAGGTTGTTAGAATTAATATATCAAATAATTCTTTTTTTAATTAGATTTAGAATCTCTACGCACAGGTTCCCGCCGGCACCAATGAAATTGTTAATTGCAATTTTAAGTACTGATTTACCACGTGCTCGCCGGTGAAGGAAAACATCGTGAGGAAACCTGCATGTCTGAGAATTAATAAAAAAAATATTTCGAAGACATGTGAAGTTCGCCAACACGCACTTGGGCAGCGCGGCGGACATTTCCTTGCCCTAAAACCTTCTCAGAATTGAGAGGAGGCCTGTGCCCAGCAGTGGGACGTATATATGCTGAAACTTTATTTTACTTTACTTTTACGCACAGGTTCCTTAGAAAATCACTGAGTAATTTGGTCTCGTTTAATTGTAAAAAAAAGAACTGTTACTTTTCTCCAAAAAATAGTAATAGTCTATATAGTCTCATGGATCTCTTTTTTTCGTCTCAAATATGGAAAAAGAGATATTTTTCTTTTTATATAATCAAATGAGATTGTAAGGCGTGCACTTTTGGATTTTCCAAACTTTTTTAAGAATTTTATAGTTACGAAACGTACGTAACTAATACTGCTACATTTCGTAGATACGTTTTAGTAGATTCTTAAAATAATAATTAATGTTGCCAGTTGTACGACAGTGAAAATTGACGCAGTTCGAACTAATGCTCCCGAAAAAGCATAAGGATCGACGTCATAGTTATAGTCAATTACTCTACTTCTGATAATTTCCTTTAGCACTAAAGCCGACTTTTTCGGGACTCTCTTCCTTTCTGGATCATCCATGTCAATCTCGTAGATGCCAAATCTTAAACTGAAACAAATTAAGTTAACTTACAATATACAATTAAAACCATACTGCAATTTACAAGTGGTAATGTGTACGAAATTTAAAAGTCCTTTTAATACCTTGTCTTCCGCTTTGTTCTGTTATTGCTGTTAGCCATTTTGTTTTTATAGCTTAATCTGACTGATCTCTAAAAAAAGTGAAAGGCGATGATGGCGATGATGGTGATAATGACTTTGTAGTTAAGGGTGACAACGCATTCTGCCTTTTAGTTCTTAATCGAGTATAGATGTATATGTCTCCATAGACATGGTAACTGGCCCATGCTAAAGCATCCAGTTACCATCAGGTGGAATGTGTGCTCGTTTGTCACCTGTATATAATTAAAAAAAATTGAACGTTAAACTTACCTATAGCCGAAACTCCATTCAAAATTATCCATCAAGCTCCAGGCGAAATATCCTTTGACATTAACGCCCTCTGCTAAAGCGTCAAGTAATGCGCTAAGGTAATTTCGGTAGTACTGTACTCTACTTGTGTCGTTTCGCCCCGTACTTGTAGAACAACCATTCTCCGTTATGTATATTTTGGGATTATTGTAGGTGTTTTTAAGGTAAATGAGTAAGTTGTAGAAACCTGGAGCGTATTCCTGTAAAAATAGAAAATTAAATTATGCAACCCCACTCGTCCATACACAGATGGAGTGGAGGTCGAAGATGAAGGCGCGCCTTTTGTTCTGGTGCGCCTTACTTGCGTGGGAGAAAGTGGAGGAGTGGCCCGGAGGAGGTGCTTCCATGGAGTGGCTGGCGCTAGTGGGGCCTTGCGCATGTGTGCGAAAGTGATCTTCCCGTCGCCTTGCCAGTATGCAGCGAAAATGCCATGGGGCTTAAGCTGGTCCGAGTTAGACATAACCCATGCTTGCTCTCGCGAAGCGGGAAGCTGGTATGCGCAGACATTTCCCCATGTAAAAAAGAGGCTTAGTGTTCGCAGAATTTAAAACACTTGTTCAAATTCAAAGTACAAGACCAACCTGGATTCGATCCCCGGCGCACTAATGACATTTAAATTTAAATTTTCAGTGCTATTTTACCACGTGCTCGGCGGTAAAGTAAAATAATGTAAGGCAACCTACATGTAGGAAAAATAAAAATAAAAATAATTTCGGAGAAACGTGTAAACTCCGCCAACATAATTGCCGTAAAACCATGTCAGAAATGAGAGGGAACCTATACAGGCTGTCTCTTTACTTACGGTAAGTGACTATTGCAGTCCTAAAACAAAAATAGTTTCAAATGCCTTGTGGCTGGCCTCTGAGCACCATCATCTTAATTAAGACCTAATTAAGACGAGGCGACAAACAGAGGGTGGTAACTGTCTGGACGGGTTCTTAAAAAAGGAATCCTACCTAATAGAAATCTTAGTAGAAATTACTCTAGAGACTGAAACGTAGAAATATTACGTCCAAATTTAGACTTTAGACATTCGAACCCGGTGCAATAAGTTCCTACTGAAAAGTTCCTACTGAAAAGAAAAGAGTGAAAACACTTCTCCTTCTTCGCAACCATAGAATACTATAATGCATACATAATAGAACGGGGGAGTGGGCGGAGCCCGTGTAGCCACTAAAATGTCACTAACATGTTAATTCACACATATACAGTTATACGTGATACAACACGAGATGTGTTTCGACGTTACAATCGTTTCCAAATTTCGCATGCAAATTTTTTAGAAAATGTCAAATTGCACACTATTTACAGATAAACATGTATTAAAATGTAAACGATTTTTTTAAATGATGATCTTGAACATTAATCAAAAGTCTAAAATATTTAAATTTACTCAGTTTGTCAACACAGGGAATCGGGTTTGTAGTAGTGATAATACGACGTAAACCTTATTTTATACAAAATAATTTTCCGTACAAAATAAGGTTGACAGCCATTCTATTGTGTATTATATTACATAGAATATGTTCGCAACCTACATACATTCCGCTTCTGAGCCAGGCCTGCACAAAGAGTGCAGGGGTCTGAGAGGGTTTAAGGCACTTTTGTTAACTATTTAGTTAGTGTTAGTGCATGTGCGTTATAGGTAAAACCAGTATTCAAACCTATAGAAATAACTTTACTTCAAAAAACTCAATTCTATCAAATAACATTAACTAAAATAAAGTTTTATCTGCAAATTGTATGGGGTTTAATATCCCTGCATCGGTAAAGTGGGGTCACAGAGTAAAGAGTAAGGACCAGAGGGGAAGTTTCCTAACAACGTCGAAAATGTATACCTATTCTGATAGGGTTGTCACGTGATGCATGTGAAAATTTTTAAGGAAAAAATAAATATATTATATCGTATAAAATAACATGTGTATTAATTGTAACTTATTTTAATGTAACAACATATGTATTAATTGTTCGAAGTCAAGAGCTATTTCAAATAGATTAATTTTAAACACTAAGCAAAAAATAAGATTTTATATAGTGTATAAGACAACATGCGTATTAATTATAACTTATATTACATAATGTAACAACATAATATATAGTAATTGTTCGAAATCAAGAGCTGTTTCGTATAGATTATTAAACATTAGCGATGTATATTCAGCAAACAAAAAGGTACTTAGTATACTTGATATCTCGGATACAAAAAAAAGGAAATATCCTTATTTTATCTACAATTATTCATGCATAATGTACAATTATTAGGCATTTTTGCTTATACAGAACACTTAATATTATTTACCTATATAAATTTATAATAACTTAATTAATTATTTTAATTAAAATAAGTCTAATTAATTACTAATTGCAAAAAACTATAATAAATTAATTGATATATAAAATTTCGAAATATTGTTAATCTATTAATTTAAATGTGCATTTTGATGGATACTCTGACTGAGCCGGCGCAAATCAGTTTGTACCCCGACGGAGCGTCGGTGAACCTATCGGTGAGAGCTCACGCACACATCGCTGCGCCATGTATGGGTGTATTCGCAGCGAACCGTTTATATGTAGCTTCCCATTTAGTCGGTTTCTTTAGTCATGTCCCCCATCGGTTATCGGTTCTTCGAGCTATATGGCTGGCCCATTGCCACTTCAGCTTACTAATCCGTTGGGCTATGTCGGTCACTCTGGTTTTACTGCGGATATCCTCATTTCTGAGTCTATCACGCAGTGAAACTCCGAGCATAGCCCTCTCCATAGCTCGCTGAGCGACCTTGAGCGTCCTCATATGGCCAGCGGTGAAGGACCACGTCTCAGATCCGTAAGTCATCACTGGCAACACGCACTGGTTATACACTTTAGTTTTCAGAGATTGAGGTATACCTGACGAGAAGATGTGTCGTAATTTCCCGAACGCTGCTCAGCCGAGTTGAATCCGTCGATTGACCTGGAACAGCTAAAAATCAAAACCGCATACAGTTTGCAAATAAATTTTTATTATAATTTTATTTTTTTATAGACGAAAAGTTATTTCTATACGTTTGAATACTGACTCTTATAACGCACTTAACGGGAACCACAGGGTTTTTGTTGCATGTTGGAGATTTGCTTAACTTACGTGTACAAATCCTGTGTCGACTGGCCAAGATGGATCTCTGAGTTCGCCTAAGTAAGCGTCATCATGCTTCGAAGGTACAGAAAACTGGCCTTCGAGGGACTCGTTCCTGTACACTAATTTGCTGGTATAGTGGTTGAATCCGAGGAAATCTGCTGTGCCTTTTATATACTCGATCTGCTCACTGGTGAACGGACGTAAACGTGAGGCGTTCAGACCCTGGTTGGTGCTCGCCGCTGCCACGCGGTCGATGAGACGTTGCGGGTAGTTACCATTTTCCGAAAATATCGGGTCCATGTACTGACCAATCTGTAAATATTATTTAATAAAAAAAACGCCTGTTAATATTAAAAATGTCAATGTCTTACTAATTTCAAATGTGTGCAATTACAATTCGGAATAACTGAAGCTTTACTATTAAGTTATATTTCACAATTTGTTAATTAGGTGTTTTAATTATTATTATTGGATTGAAATCGTATTATTATATTGACATCTTATCCCTGACATTGTAAAAAACTAAGAATTGATAATTGATAATTGTGCTGTTTCTACGTAGATAGCAGTAAGACATGTAAATGATCCTAAAAGTTATAATGCAACAACCTGTTGTACCATGTTTCTGAAATCTATACATATAATAAATCTGTAGAAAAGTCGTGTTTGTAATTCTAATATTTTCTGGAAAAAACAAGTCCAGGGGACTAAATAAAGGACATTGAAGCCAAAGAGTGGTTTTTAAAATTTTTGTCTGTCTGTCTGTCTGTGTATTCAAGATTCACGCAAAAACTACTGAACAGATTTTCATGAAATTTTGCGGGTGTATAGTTAGGGACCCGGAGCTACTTATAGGCTCCTTTTTATCCGATTACGGAATTTCAAAAAGGGGTGTTAATTATTTTCCTTCCTTTAGATGTTAATTTCTATTTAATACGATTGATGTGTTTTATTAAAATAAATAAAATATTTATAAATAAAACCCAAAATTAGTTTGAACCATTGCGTAATAAATTGAACTACGCCGTCAATCAACGATATTATTGTTGTATTCAATTTTTTCAAAACAATGCCATCTAACGTAAAATACAAAAAGTAGTGACATTTTTCCCTCAGTTACTAATAAACTAAATGATATAAATAACTTACATTTATATATTTAAGTTCATAATTAATTTGTAAATTCTTATGTTCAATGTTTAGTTTTTGTTATAATATTTTAGTAGATATAAATAACTTTTATAGATACTAACTACTACCTTAATAGATAATAGTGACATCTATTGAAAATCATTACATAAAGGATGTTTCTAAGTTTAATTTCTAATCTGTAAAAGTTTTAGTAGGTACCTATTAGTTTTTCATCTATAAATAAACTGATAAAAATTGAAATTAGTACAAAACTATTATTATCCTTATACTTTAAATAAAAAGATTTTTATATAAGTATTGCTCAGATTGAAAATAAAATGGCGGTATTTCATAAAATTTAACAGTGTTTGTTGACTATATCATGATATAGATCGATTAAATCAATGATTAGAGATTGTTTGGCGATATTAACAACTAAACACGACATTGCTATTTCTAGATGTTATTGTTATATCGTAAAATAATTTCATTACACACCGCTAGCGGCGCTGATTGCGTATATTTGATAAAAGCAGAATTTTTATTACGTTCTACATCACTTTATGCCAAATTTATGTATCGTATAAATGTGAGCGGCTTTGTTGTACGATAGAGCCACTCCAGTCGCACCTCAACTTATTGTATATGAGTAATAGAGGGTAAAGTTTTGGATGTCTAGTTTTAAAGTAATAATAATGCCATCTACTTACTGCTAAATAAACTGAAAATAAGTACCTAACTGGTCAAATTAAACACAATTCTGTTAAATATGTACTTATTGTTGCAGCATCAAAAATTGTCAGACCGGTGGCCACTGACTGCATGATTTATAATAGTTGTCAATTTTAACAAAATTACTAACAAAACGGGGAAAATTTTTTTGATACAGAGAGAAGGTCTTTAATTGAATATGTTGTGTGTCTATCGGCATAGCAATATTTCACCATTTTCTTTTTGTATCAAGTCCAATATAAGTAATTGAAAATTAAATACACTATGAGACCGGTGGCCACTGACTGCATGAATTATAATAATTGTCAATTTTAACAAAATTACTAACAAAACGGGGAAAAATTTTTTGATAAAGAGAGAAGGTCTTTAATTGAATATGTTGTGTGTCTATCGGCATAGCAATATTTCACCATTTTCTTTTTGTATCAAGTCCAATATAAGTAATTGAAAATTAAATACACTATGAGATTGTATGCATAAGTGATGAAGTAGTTCGTATTACCGTTGGCGCAACTTTTTTTACTTTTAATGAGATTTTTAAAACAGTTTGTCATATATTATGATAGCTTTAATATATATGTTATTATATTGTATTATAGGACGTAACTATTAAAATTTTTGTGAGAGACCCGGTTTCATAGCTCACATGAGCAAATGAATTAGTTCTTGTGAAAAAGCAATATAAGTATCAAAGAAAGCAAATTTTAAACACGGTTTACTTTTATTATAACTATGAGTAGAACTGCATCGACACAATCTTGAAACTCATCTGTATAAGCCGGTAATCAAACCGATCTATACGTAAATTTCGTAGCAACGTAAACAACTCAAATTACATCTGCGCCAACTCCCCTCATATTTTAACTGCAATTTGAAGTTTCGATTTACCATGTTCTCGGTGGTGAAGAAAAACATCGCAAGGAAACCTGCATATCTGAGTAGTTAAAACAATATTTCGGAAATAATTTTTAGGTATAGGTATGTGATATCGGTCATCCCGCGTTGGTGTCAACTTAATCAAATCCTTTTTGACCTAAAACTCGCTGCGGACTGTGCTTAGTAGTGGGATGTATTTAGGTTGCTACTTTTTACTTTTAATAGGCCTATTCACTGCTGATCGTGGGCTTCTTCCATTATTTGTCAAATAGACCGGGTATTTGCAGTAGTATTCACTCTTGGCAAGCGGTTTGGCAACCGCAGCTCTTTATAACTTTGCGCTGTTATCAAGACGATGCTACCGACCTCCTGTTTCAGGTTTCTTCTGTCGCCTTTTAAGACACCCACGCGACGAACTGGGGTAGTGGTTTCTTTTTCGCCGCCTCTACATAGCTAATATTTTATTTCTACTCCCGCTCATCAATTGGATTTCCTCCACAAACCGCCAAATAAGTTAGATATTTTCCATATTTGCCACGCTTGGCATGCGAGTTGTTAACTGCATACTTTTATTATTTTGAGCTATGATCAGGAAGACGCTGTTGCCCATCTTATGTAGATTTCTACTCCCGTTCATGAATTTAGTTCTTTTCACACGTTTACCGTGAATAGAACTACATAAATGACATTTTGAAGTCTACTCAAATATAAAAAAAAATACTGTAATGTGGTGCTAATCAATATTCAATGTAACCAATATGAATAAAAACCATGAAGTAAAATCTTATTTTATCAAAACTATATCAACTTTAATAATGAATATTATGTAAATAAATCATTTTCGAATGCAGGTCAATTTTCCCTAAATTCTCCCTCATAAAGACACATCGGAAGACGTGCCCGATATAAAAAAGTGTTGCTTGACGTATGATATTTATGTGATTCTAATAAACTAACTTACGTGTTTCTGTAGCTTATAATATTGCCGGTATAGACACAGATACCGACGTGTCTCCAAAAAGTGATCCTTGAAGTGATTTTGCTAATTTTAGTACGAAATAGTATTATCGACGTTACTAAATTCAAGCCCACATGTATATAAATAAATAAATAATAATTTTTATTGCATATCGATCGATCGATATTGGAGTGATGACATTTTATATATTTATTTAATTCTATCTATGTATATTATGCTTATTAAACTGTAACTTACAGTTTGCCACAACATTAAAAAGAAGAAAAAGTAAAAAACATTTTGTTAAGCGGATATTTTTAATGAATAATATTCTTCATTTCGTTTTTTAATATAGCTGCAGCGTGGCTCTACCACGTAAAAAGATAGAGACTTAGCATAAAAAGCTAAATTAAGATTTTTCGTTTTTAGAAACTGTCTTTCCTTTTCAAATGGGTTTCGTAGGAGGCAATTGGAAAGACTTCAAGGCGTTTCTTATTTATAATAATTAGGTATGACATTGTTTGTCCGCGATGAACTCCTAAACTACTGAATCGATTTTAATTAAATTTTGCACACTGTGTGCAGTTTGTTCCAACTTGAGAGACAGTTAAGATAGTTTTTATCCCGATCAGTGACCTCGACATATTTTATTGCGTATTTAAAGATTTTTTATAGTACAATAGGTCGTTGGAATGCGCAGAACAAACTCTGCCTGGCCGGCTAGTGTACCTACACCGTGTATCATATCGTATGCACCACAAACAAAATCAATAGACCGGCGTCAAGGAGCAGAGTCAAAGCTGCGATACAACGGAAACTGTGATACTTAATCTGCCTCCACAGCATTCGAATTTCCAAGAATTCGGTATGAAGGTAGTAGATTAATGACTAGATGATGACCTTGGGTAGCATCCGGGATATAAGGCTGCTTTTTATTCCGCTAGGAAAGACCACAAAAGATGGGTGATATCTTTCCTTTATCGAGATGTTTATTTTCATAACAGCTGCTGATGATTATTCAAATATAAGTAATTTTTGAAAAAAGAAACAAAAATTAATGAAATTAGGTCTTTGGTTAACTTAAATCAAAGTAACGCCACTATAATGAAACCTATACAGGCAAAGCCGAGGTGAGCCGCTCGTATTAAAATAAATTATTGAATATACGTAATAACCATAAGGATATTAATGTATGATGAAACGGATTTTAGAAATTAACATGATAAGTAAGGAAAAATATGTGAGCATAATGGTTAAATAATATTTGAGAAAGCGTACATCATAAATAAAATTAACATTGATAAATCTTATAACCGTAACAAAATATACTTACGTTAAACGCAATAAAGTCTTCAACAGCCTCGTGGTCATCTGCAGAATCGGTTTTTGGTAATGGCCATTCCATACTTATAACTATCCCAATCTCTCCTCCTTGAGATGCTCTGAACTCGTCATCATAAACATGATACGCTTTAGCATTAGCAAGTAGTATATTCCTGCCACACTCATAGTACCCAACACCAGGGGAGACTACTCTTGGAGCGTGGTAACCTGATTCATAACCAAAGTAGCAATGGACATCCGGCTCGTTGATCGTCAGCCAATGTTTGACCCTGTCGCCAAAGTTCTCAAACAACACCCTCGCGTAATCAGCGAACCAGCCCGCTATATCCTCATTAAGCCAGCCACCTAGCTCGTTCAGATTCTGTGGTAGTTCCCAATGGTAGATCGTAACGAACGGCTGGATGCCATTCGCTAATAATTCATCGATGAGTGCATTGTAATACGCGACGCCGTACGGATTGACGTAATCGGGCCTGCCGTACGGCAGGATCCTCGGCCATGAAATCGAGAATCTGTAGTTATCGACACCCAGTTCTTTAAGCATTTCGACGTCGCGTTTGTATAAGTAGTAAGAGTTTGCTGCTATATCCCCTGTTGTGTTGTCGTATATGTGATACGGCGCTGTGCGAACGAGATGGTCCCACATTGACCATCCTTTTCCTGCAAATATTTGAATTCATTACAATTATAATAAGATTAATAGTACCGATTAGTAAGCTGAAGTGGGAATGGACCAGCCATATAGTTAGAAGAACCGACGACTGAAGGGGAATAACAGTTCTCGAGTGGCAGTCCCACCGTACCGGTAGGCGAAGTGTAGGAGGACAGCTCACTAGATAGAGTAAGGTCCTGGTAAGACATGCAGAAAGTCGATGGATGTAGGTGGCTCAGGACAGTGCTTTGTGGCATTCCTTGGGGGAGGCCTATGTTTCGCAGTTGTAACGATGATGATGATGATAGTAGTTAGTCTTTGAACTTAAGAAAGGTCACTGCCAAGGAATTTAATATGTATCAAATGCTTGTGGCACTGTTTGCAGAAAGAAAACACCCTATTGATGAAACCACACATCCATTTTCCTTTTGAGCCGTAATTACAAATCGTCTTGCAAGCAGATTGAGAAAGAGCTTCTTGAAAAAGTCTGTATCTGAGAAGGGTTCGGTACTACAGACCATAAAGATCCTTCGGCTGGCTATCCAGAAAACTGAGAAAGCACAATCTACCAAACCAGTCATTCTGGGGTGTACATACCATAAGAGTCGTTGGTTTAGTAAAAATTAGGACAATTTATCTATCTATAAACAAAATCTATCCAACTGCCCAAATATGTAAGACGAGGATAGAGTGAGAGTATATCCCTGAAAGTTTTGACCATTACATTAGAAAATGTAATCAAACTACTGAATACGATATCAACATCAATGGCAAATATATCTATCACTCAAATTCAATTTGGCGCCGAATTTAGTAGCTATTATGGCAGGGTCGCTAAGCAAGCTGCTGATCACAGTGTTTCACATCACAGATTTTCTATATATATATATATATATATATATATATATATATATATATAATAACAGGGTGAAGTAGAGGATTACTCTGCTTTCTTTTGTTAAGCGCAGGAGGCCGAGCCCAATCGCCCAACCTTCTCCCTTAACATGGTATTGGAATTAAATAAAACATCCTCTATTATCTGGAGACGGTGAAGCAGCCTTGCTTTTTAACACTTCCAACGGGGTAAGAACACTCCTTGTGCCCCAAAAAGACATCTCACCATCTAAAGCACGATGACCCACTCTATAATAAATCTTAAATCCCATAAAAAAAAGCCGGCCTTGCTCTTTTTAACCGAGACTCAGGTGTTCTCTCCAGCTGATACTTCATATCTCTCCTAATCGAGGTACAAATTAGAACACTCCTTTGTGCCCCAGGCTAGAGTCGATACGTCAGAGAGGACATTTGGCTTCAACGCCTCGGTAGTTTTGAAGGTATGGATCTGTCCATCCTGTGGCTACTCGTAGACAGCGACGACCATTCCTGCGTCTATGGATGCCTCTATAGGTCTCATAGCGATAATGTCAATAATCGACCACGTCCAAATGGCTACAGATTTTTTGCTACAGCAGATCCCATCCGCAGATATCGCAATCCTTGGCGATTTTAACGCCCACTACGTCGAATGGCTCGGTTCACGTTTGACAGATCATGCGGGGATTATGGAGCTTTATGACTGCCTTGGTATATGGTAGTTACAGCACAACTGGTTACTTCGCCTACGCAGATTTCAGATGTGGAGGATCATGCACCTTTCCTGTTGAACCTTCTGCTGTGCTCTCATCTGAACGGACATCAGGCTTCCGTTGATGCCCCTCAAGGCACGTCGAACGAAGTCGTCTTTTCCGGAGTGTGGTGCCACTCACACTAACGTTGCGATTGCATTCTGCAGGCTGCGGCCGTGTTTGGCAACATAGGTCGGCCGATTGTTATAGGATGCGATCTTTTTTGTATCCTACCCTTAGGATGGGTTTGCTTCTCGCCGGACGATCCCAGCGTTGTTGTTGTTTTGTCGCTGATGTGGTACTTCAGGGTATGTAACTTTTTATTCGATCCTCTATAGTGCCCATCGCAGGCAGATACAAGCCATGGTTTGGTTGCTCCTGTAAAATAAAATCACGCTATAAGCAGGAGTGCTAACGGGCCTAGGCTGACGCATCAGCGTCTCGGGATGTAAGCACCAGCGCTCTTAAAAAGAAGTATAATTCTACCTCCAGGTCCTTCAAAAGAGTCATTGGTAAGGCAAGGTCTGGGCACATCGGCAGAATTGGGGAGAAGCTAGTTTGCCTTCCTTCAGGAACCTGTGAATTCTAGTCTTTCACCATGGCTCTCCAAGGGAACTTCTGTCAGCCATCTCTTCCATCTTTGCACAGAGAAGATGGCTTACCGGCCCATCCCGCAAAGGAGAAAGCCGATCCGTTAGGATCTCTCTTTGCATCCAACTCGACTCTCGATGATGGAAGGAACACACCGACAACCATCTCGCGGTGTGAGTGCTCCATGCCGGATGTGCGGTTTACATAGTGCTCGGTTTACAAAGCACTCCTCTCCCTGGACGTCAGAAAGTCGAGTGGGCCTTTTGGTGTCCCTCCTATCGTGCTGAAGATGTGTGCTCCGGATTTGGCACTGTTTTTAACGCGTCTTTTCCGGTACTCCTACTCCCAATGCGTAGTCCCGAATTCATGGAAGACAGCTTTAGCCGACCCGATCCCTAAAAAAGGAGACCGCTCAGAGCCGTCCAACTACAGGCCTATTGCTATCACTTTTTTACGGTGACGAAGCTAGAGCTCCAAGCTAGAGCAAGCCCAAGATATGGTTTTGTTGTGTTTAGCAGTTTTATAAAAATACACCAATCTTGATCTGTCTCCACTTTTCAGTTTCGTATTCAGTGCTGTCGGAGTACTGTGGCTGTACGGAGCGTAGGAGACTAGTGAAACTCTTGACGACTGTCAACGTACTGCTTTAATTGCAAGCAATATTATTGAGCGCGGACGCAACCGCGGACATACACAACATTCCTCCCCCTGTAGTGAGGGTGTTATATGTTATACATTATATAAAAACATACATACTAAAAACTTTTTGTAATTGACTTTGGGGCAATTTTGTTTTAATGGCGCTTGATATTCTTGTGCCGGTGATACCATCTCCTCGTCTTCATCATCAGACGATTGTGGACGCCGAACTCCTTTCGTTACTGTAATATGTGAGGGTGATGGTGATTGGCGGCAAGAGTCATTGCAAAGCGTCAAGTTCTCCGTAAGGGTCTCAGTTGCAGGTGCAGGTGTTAATATTCTGTCCTCGAGTCCATCCCCCTCCCTCAGATTGCGAATTTGCTTGTGAGATTTCGAGTCTGGCGGTAATATAGGTAACGATGGCGCAGTTGTCAAAACTGAACTACCTGAGGTGTCAGAGCTGAGAATATCAAGCTCCCAGGATCTACTTTTCCTATTAATGGTGCCTTTGTTTAAAATTATTTGATTTACATGTTTTTTTACAACAGTATTTAACAATGAGTCTCGGATTAAGTATGTCATTTTACCAAGTTTTTGTATAATTACGCCTTGATGCCATTTGAAGTTATCTTAAACATTTTTTGTTTTCCACCGTGTGACTTAACCTGTGAACACTGTTTTGATCGGACTGCTTTAGCGAGTGAGGAAGACAGGGGCCGCGATGCTATATGGAACCGGGATCATAATTTGCGACCAAAAGCTATTTGTGCAGGAGATAAACCCGTCGTAGAATGGACCGAATTGCGGTAGTCGAAAATGTATTTTAAGAGATTTAAATTGCATTGTCTAAGATTATGGCTGCTTAACAAACTAGACTTGATAACCCCTTTTAATTACCTTCACGTAGCTTTCGGCTTGACCATTACTTGACGGGTGGTAGGCAGGTGACGTAACGTAATACCGTTAAGATGACAAAAGTCTAAGAACGGGATCAAAACGATGTTCCATTATCAGTCACTATAGTCTCTGGAAGACGATGAATTCGTATAATTTATCTATAACTGCGATGGAAGAGCAAAAAGTATTCATGCGGCAGAGTTCGACCCATTTGGAATACGGATCAACGATCACCAAGTACGTATGTCCGTTGATGGGGCCGAGGAAGTCGAGATGTATTCTTCGGAAAGGGTCAGCAGGATATTTCCACGGGGAAATAGGTACACGCGGCGGCGATGCTCAAAGTTGCGTGCATATTTCGCAGGAGCCGATCATGCGCTCAAGGACGCCGTCAATACCTGGAAACCAAAACCGAGAGCGAGCTTCGGCTTTAGTTTTAACAATACCCATGTGTGATGTATGTAGCTCCGATATCACTCTATCACGTAACGATCCAGGGAGAACTATTTTATGACCATGCATAATTTTCATATGAAAGTTCTAATTTACACAAACTATAAGATTTTATCTCTGAATCATTAACGTTTTTAGGCCATTCCTCTAAAACATAATGTACGACCTTTTTCAAAATGCGATCTTTATTTGTTGCATCACGTAACGCCTGTAAGGTTATCGGTATCGCGCCATTGACAACTAAATTACGCTGCGCGATCGTCCATATCGGCGGTTCCCGTGCATTCGAATCCCCGCCCGCGCCGCTACTTTTTGCAGCGGCGCCCGGAATGCTGGCACGCGATAAGTAGTCTGCGCTATTATCCGAACTCTTAACATATTCTATAGTATAATTATATCCGCTTAGAAATAAAGCATATCTCTGTAAACGGTTAGCAGATACCTCCGGAATTCCTTTATTATATGGCCCAAAAATTGATAATAACGGTTTGTGATCCGTACGTAGGATAAAAGGTGTAGACCTATGACCTACCATATAAATATTGGTGGAACATCCGTACCCCAAATACTATAACAGTTGCTTCTTTTTGTATTTGAGAATATTTTTTCTCGGTATTATTTAACGTCCGTGATGCAAACGAGATTGGCTTCTCAATACCTGAACTATCCTTTTGCGATAATATTGCACCTAACCCGTTACGCATCCACGGTTAGTATAATTTTTTCATTAGGATTAAAATGTATTAAGGGGATATAGTAAGTCAGCTCAAATTCTAATTTCGCCCCCACTTCCCCGCGCGTCG